CGGGGACCATTTCTCCGAGAGATAGGCTGCAGCTCTGGGTTAATACATTTTTGCTAAAGCAAAAGGAAAACTCAGGTAGCGTAACCGCTACCTTTCGTGACATCTTCATCTGACATTATCCGACATTGTAACTAGTAGTGATGGCCTCCAACCTAATAGCGATGGCCTTCACCTAGAAGCTTCTAGTTACTAGAAAGCTTTATCTTATGTGAGTGACAATAGATTGGACAGTTTAGGGGGTCCAGGCATTGTCTAACGCCACAGTGAAACTGCGTTCGCATGCCTGTGTGTGAAATCTATAGACAAATAGCCGGAAGCAATGTCAATCCGTTTTTTCTGTGCAATTAAAACAGATCGGCTTGGTTCTTTGTGCAAGACTCTTATGCTGATGATGAATATATTATTGTTTTGTTCTTTTGGAGTTGGGTGAGGGGATGCCTTATCTGAGTGGAACTAAGCACTCAGAAAGCCAAGTGAAATCCGCTCATCGTGCTCTTATGGGCAAACCCTGCTCACGACCCACATGTGTCCCCAAAAACGAGGAACCAAATCAAAGAAGCTTAGGGGTTCAAGGAAGCCTGAGCAAAGAGTGTGCTCTAACTAGTAGCTACTCAAGCTTCTAGACTACTTCTTGCTACTAGCTACTTAAGCTTGCGTACCACGGCCTACCCCCCAACAAAAAATGCTGAGAAAATGCTTTGACAGGTGCAATCGGCCTTGAATTCCACCTGCTTCTGGAAGAAGTGGTCGCTGACACCAATTGAAGAAAGCTTGGCCAGGGCCTGTGCACTTGGACTGCGTGTGAAGTAGCACATCTTGGGCGGTGTACAAACAGTCCATGATCACACAAGGCCTAAGGATGTGGCTGCGTATGAAATTTGTGAACCCCACATGATCCATTGCTGTTGGGGTTCACCGCTCCTCCTGTGCTGCATGAGGGCGGCCCTGGGCAAAGTGCGCGTAGGCCAGGACAAGGTAGCAAAAGTGCAGGCACCCTGAAGCACTCACGCAAGTTGTGATACAATGTCTCAAGCACTCTCGTCTCAAGCTAATCTCAGATCCGTGCCCGTCTTAATGCCAGCCGTGCTCAATTCCGGTTGCAACGCCTGAGTAAGTCCAGCAATGTACAGTAACGAACCAAACATGAGGATTCAATAAATCCATCAAGGTTGGAAAGGATTGCAAAGCCAGGATCTTTGAAGCGTCCATCTAAAAGAAACTCTCGACTCCTGCCACACCAAGTCCCCTTGCGCAACCATCATCGGCCAGCTTTAAAGCCTCCTCCCAATGTTCTCCTTGTCGCATTGCCTCTGAAAGACTAGTACCCTACATGGCCATGCTGCATGGGGCCAACCTGCCTAGATCCCTTTCGAAGATTCGAGAGGAAGACTGCTTGTAAACAAAAAGTGCATCGAAAAGATTGCTTGTGTCGGCCTCTGCTTGAATGCAAAGACCCACACATCTTCCTGGCGCGATCAATTCACCCTCTGGTGTGCTCTTCCAGTTTCGGAGAGACAAAGAACTGAAATGTACGTCCATCGGCCACATTCAGTTGGTCCAAGCGGCCGTCTGCATCCTTTTGCAAATCAGTTTCTTCCTGCACCATCCGAAGGAACTCCTTTCGCCACAGCAATTTTGTCCCAGGAGTTCGTGCTTGCTGCCAACTGTGCTTTTGTAAAACCTGGGAAGCGATGAACCGATTGTTTGAAGGATCCAAGTATATAGTCGATGGATAAGTCCATCACCTCCCCTCACACAAAATCTATGTGAACCTTGCTCAAGTGCTCAATTTCAACAAACATGAACTTTGCTTAGTTCTTACTAGGAGCAAGAACGCTACCAGGGGCTTCTGGCCTTACTACTAGGAGCAAGAACGCTAC